GTAATAATGGTTGGACAATTGAAACCTGTTATCTGCATCGATGGCAAGCATATTCCACAGATCCTTCTGGCGTTCAGCATAGCAAACATGCCCAGGTTTTGCTTGGTCTGCTGCCATTTTTTGCCATGCACTCCACTTGTTCACCTGATACAAAAAGTATCTCGTCACCCATTCCATCTCATGTGACAACAGGTTGAATTCTTCTCTCCATCTGTGAAACCTGGCCCTGGCCCGAAGCCAATTGATGCGATGAACTAGAAAGGTAATCAATAATCTACTATTGAGGAGGGTATAGGGATGCTTTACACTCTACCATCCGTTCCTTGTCCTGCATATCGCCTGCCAAGTTGGAACTCCAAAACCAGGCTGGCTTTGCCCTACTTTGCCCTCGCACATTCGGGTCTGCTACTGCAGTATTTGCCTTCATGTCCTCCTTCAAGAGCGGTTTATACTGGCGCCCTATCTTCTTCTCTGGGTCGCCCAATCTTGAAATGGCATCGATGGCATAGGAGTAAATCTGGTGATGATGATGAAGCGTTCGCCCAACAGCGTGCACCGTCGCCCATGCCCTTGTTTTCTTGACTTTACTTTTTTTGATTTTTCGAAGCTTTCTTCCATATTCAAAAGACAAATTCGCCAGTGACACTCGGACGCCTTGAAGAGCATCGTTCGCTTGCCCTTGGCGCAACTGATATTCTTTGGACAAAAAATGTTGTAATCCATGAGCCTGAAGGTGCTCTTCTCCCATGGCTGACGGCAAGGCTAGTTTCACATGTTCAACAGCTTCAGCCGCAGCAAGCGCCGCTGCCTGGGCTTGTGCAACCTTTGTGGCGGTGACCACCATGATATCAGGCGCGCTGCCACTGAAATTTGACTCGGCCAGATCATCGTCCATCTGCAGAACATTGTCCATATCAAACTCTTCATGAAGCAACAGCTGATTTTCATTTAATGCCGGGTTCCATGCTAAAAAGGTCATTCCCGTCTTGTTGAAAGCATCGATTCTCACTCTTAACCTTTCCCTCCTCTTAGCAATGTCAACTTTCTGCAGGATAGTTGGTTTTTTTCCAGTACGCCGAATGAGAAACCTTAGTTCAATCCTGTTTTAATGTAAGCCATTCCTTGTATGCATTGGCTCTGTCAGGGTCTTACTGTGTCTCCTCAATTTTGAGTCCTGTTGCAATCCAAGATGTTTGACCTGTACTGCCCATCGAAAGGCGCTCCTGGTCCATCAGCTTTAATTGGACTTGAGCGGTGGTGAGGGGGGCTGTAGTGTTGGTTAGTCTAGGTAAAATGGCATGAGCGCCAGGGGTGC